TGTAGTTTGTCTATTACATTTTTCATCCAATTATTTTGGTGCAATAATGTTAACTGCTGTTTAAAAAAAACATGAAGTGAAAACTTGGAAAGACATTATTCAATGTCCAAAAGTCTTCCTTCAAAAAGCTTCCAGACTAGATTTTAAAAAAAAGAGAGAAAATGAAAGAGAAAAAACATCTTTGTTAACTTTTGAAGTGTCCCTAAGAAATGATATATGGAAAAAGATTCCGCTCCTGGTAATTTTCACAATGTTGTTGAAATGTTAAAAACCTAAATTTGTGAAATTGAAACTTTGAAAGCTACGTTACATATTGACATGTTGAATAAGGAATAGTTCATTTAAATTGCAAATCTCAGATTTGAGAAACCAGATATTTTCGATGTAAATAATGGCAAAAGCCCTTAAAACCTCATTGCTGTCAATTATTTAATATGTTTCCCAACCTCTGGGGCATTTTTATGATCATTTATTGAAGAATCGGTTATTTAAATTATTTAAGAAACATTTAACACTTTCGTGACAAAAATAAAACTTTTGAGCAAGAATGTGACATTCTAATTCAGGTAATGTCACATTTTATAAACATGAAATACTATTAAAAGTTTAATTCAAATTGGGTTCTGTCTAATTCATGCAAATATTTAGCACAATGAGATGGGATTTAACTTTATGATGTGAATATTTTAACATTTGTAAATGAGTAAAACCTAAACATTGAGATAAAGCAGGGGTCACAGAGAGGTTTCATTTAAAATACAAGAAGTTTTTTAAGAAAGACATAATAAAATATTCTTTGAATTTGAAAAATAAAATTTAAAGCAACCTTCAGCTTTTATTTTCTGTTGGAAAAAGAATTCTGTGTTGTTTCAAACTAAGTATTTCTGTAATTTTATCTTGGAAAAGTGCATCATATCACTGATAAGCCCTCTTCAAAACAGGGTCCTGAGAGTTATTTATAACGTTCCAGTGATGTTCTTTTATAAAAATAGAATTTAAATATAGAGAGCGCACTCGTGCATATTTTTTACGTAATTTTTCCTGGACAAATTGTATTTTCCATCTTAATTCTTTTGATTTGACAATCATTTGAAGCAATTTATAAAAAAATAATAACATATTTAACCTTTAAAAAAGCTGAAGGCCGATTTAATATTATGTAGATTTTTAACACAAAGCTTGCTGGCTGCACCTATGCAACCAGTGTTGACCAAGGTTAGGGAGCACATCCAGATTGTCTGTCCATGGTCTGCACTGTTCATTACTTACTACTAAATTTTCCCTAAATCTGATGAATGGTTATGTCCAGATTGAAAAACAGACAAGTTCATTTGATATATTTAGTGTTGTAAGGGTTGAAGCACTTTTGATTGAAGAAATGAATAAAACTGTTCAAACATGCTGTAATTGCCGAGGATATTTATATCATACATGTATATGGACAGAATTATTATAAAATAAAATTCTTCACAAGAGAACACAACAAGCTACAGAAATGGATGATAGCTATATATCTGATCTTGGAGGGTTTTTTAACCTTGACCCTAAGTATGACCTTGACCTTTCAGCTACTTAAATGTGAAACAACAGAATATGCAAGTGGATTACTGAGATACAACATTATGACCTTTGTCTGCTGAATATCATCATTTTAGTGCAATAATGGGTTAACTCCTTTTATAATTTCTCGAATCGATCCTGGAATCATCCAGTACTGAGCAATGAGTGTAAAGTTTCTTCCTCTAGGAAACAATGGCTCGCCCCTAACAGGATTTGAACCCACTTAGATAGCCTTCCTTAGATTACTAGTCTTAACACATTAACCATTTGGCTATGCCACCACTATATCATTTTCTTATGCCTTTTCCTAAGCAATACAGAAATAGCAAGAATCAAAAGCTATAAAACCAGTACAATTATGACTAAACAACATCATCCACTGACACTAAATAAATGACTCTCAATTTGCTAAAACCTCATTACTTTTCTCATTACTGTTTTTTAATGGTACATTCCTGATAATATTCAATTAAATAATTTCTTAAAAACAATTCTTACTAATTAGAAAACAACAGGGACAACTAATCATTATCGCCTGTTCTTCCCAATATGCTCCGTTACGAGGCCCTTCAATCAATTTATTTCCATTTGGGACTAATCCCAGTGATTTTCGGTTATTTCGGAAGCTGTGATGAATTTACTACACACAATTTTATTTTTTCTCGGTGTAAAATTAATTGACTATTTGCATGTCGGGCTTTCATAGGGTCCATGAAAACTCAAACAAAACGCATTATTGCAACGTCTTCAATGGCTTTCATACGATAATTCAATTCTTGTCCTCCGGAATCTAATTTGCATAAATACAATTAATCTTATCCCAGCGATTTACATCACTCTCCAAAACTGATTGTCACAGAAATTTTAAATTAATCTTTTAATCTTAAATTAAAATTTTGACAAAAACATTTGTAACAATATTTAAATTTTGCAGTCGAAAGGCACTTTATAATATATTAAATGTAGTTCTCATTTATTCTTTCTTTAACGAAAGTAATTATCGTCGTTGACAACTTTTCGAAGTACTTTTTGACTGTATAATTTATAGGACCATAGATGGCATCTAACAGGGTCACTATTTTATCTATAGCCCAATTAACTGTTACTACCACTTTATTTGTGCAATGCACTTAGACTTGCCCTAAATGTAATTTTTTAACTGTCCAATGTTAATCAAATTGTCAAACATTAAAATGATACAAATTTTACCAGTAAACAGTTTTTAGTCTGCTTTTCAGCCAGATTTAATTGGCTGGTTACTGGCTCTTGGTTGACATTGATGGCAACATCAAGTTATTATTGCCCTCTGATGATCAATACTGTTAAAATTTAATAAATATTTACTAGAAATTAATAAAAGTTTAGTTCTTTGATAATTACAATACTTCATTAATAATAACTTTTAATTTTTGCTCTTTAAGAAAAAAATATTTAAAACTTCTTCAATTTTTTTTTTCATCATTTATTTTTATGTAAAACATTTATCATAAAACAAAATCATGAAGTATTCAGTTTTCATAAAAATATTAACAACTCAAACAAAAAATTTTCAAATTGGTTTCTTGGGATAATTTTATATTTTTTCCCCCTAATCCAGAAAAAAATTTGAAATATTTCAGATGTTACAAACTCCACTTGTCCATGATTTATTGGTTGCCCATTAAATCGTGAAATATTTATCCTATATAATGGTGTTTTTAAGGGGCAAAAATGGAATCTATCTTCACAATGGTTGTTATAACCATCAAACCTGTCAGAAAAATATTTCCGAAAACACTTCTATTCTGTGCGAAAGAAAGAATGGTTAATTCATCAGCGAAAGCGGCCGGTACTTTGCTATTTTGAAGTAAAAATGTAACAATGTTTTAGCCGACAGTTTCTGGATTGTAAAAACAGCATGTAAAGCTGTCAGTTTCCACCTTACGACATGAGAAAAACATGAAATAAACATAAACCCTACTAGTCCATTAGACAGGAAAAATCAGCGCTGACAGATTCAGTGAGGGAAAAATAGTTTTATTTCTTCGCAATAGGTTTTCCTTCTGTACTGGAGCCGTGCTGTATAAATCAACTGATTATTATCAAAGAATAAAATGACAATTACTTAAACACACAAAACATTAATACAAACTGTGCTGTTATAACACATGAAACTATTCTTCTATCTTTTCGAACTATTCAAATAATGTGTACTTTGTAGATATGATGTGGTTTTAGTATGGCTACCAAGGTGGAAACAAGTCATACCAATCTTTACCACCCTTTATATCTTACATGGACTTGTCCATCTTTCATTCTGGACAAAACCATTCATCACTTTTCGGAAAAATTTTAAAATAAATATTTACAAATTAGCAAATAGTGCACACTATGATCAGACGGCATGGATGTGCTGGCCAAGTTTGATCTGCACTGGTGGCATAGGTATATTCAATTGCCAACAGCAGACTAAAGGTGTAAGCATACAGGCTGACATGGCTCCTTATGGCAAGACATGTCTGCTACTTGCAATTGGACAATTAAGCAAGAAAGTTGTACTGCATAGTAAAAATTATTGTATCATAGTTCGGAGACCTTTCTCTTGAAAATGTGTCAGGGTTAAATCGTATACATATACATGCACAGTGCGTTAACTGGAGTGCGGGTATTAGTTACCCGCACTCCAGAGCATGCCCATTGATTGGCTCATTTTTGCTGGGGTTTACATATTGTGACGGCAGAGAAAGGGAAAGCGACAGAAATGTCATATTCAGATGTTCGTTCATTGGTTCATTTTTGCCGGGGTTTCATATTGTGACAACAGGGAACGTGCTTTTATGTTTGACTATGATACAAAAGAGAAAGAACACCAAAACACTCGGCAATCTGATTTATACTCGGGTGCTACGCCCCCTCGTGCAAATCAAATAGCCTCGTGTTTCGGTGCTCTTTCTATTACATGTATTATAGCACCTTATCAGTTATACAAACAAACAATTATTTCACAATAATTTCTCTTTTAAAAATCTTGTTTGAAATTGATTCGCCTTTGTCAGTCACCCATATAAAACCAGGCCAATACCCATTGCAGTCAGACCATTAGGACTTAATGGATGCTGAACTTTACAATTTGATATTGAAATCCTTTATACATCATCAATCAACAATGGACAGTCCTCAACTCAAACCAATGCATTCAGGCTTCAGGAAATAACCCTTAAGCTGCTAGAACAGGAAGAAATTAGTCTTTTCCACCAGTTTCTAAGGACCAGGCCTGCAACTGCATGCAGTCTGATATGGCAGGCTCCATACTGTTGCCTTTCTAACTTGAACTGCCTTTCTTGACATCTCTAAAATTGATAATGGGAAGTTCCCATAAATAGAAGTTGGACCATTTAAGAAATTCAGCAGGTTAAACGTTAAGCGGAACAAGGTTAGCCCTTGACATAGAAATTTGTTATAATAATTGATGGTTAAGGACTATATAGATGAACATCTTGTATTTGTGAAGTCTGTTACAAGAGTGGAATGTTCTACATGCTGATCACTATTAGTCTGTGTAAAATGTTTTCATCGTGAATGGAAAATTAAGTCTGTTTTCTTCATCTATGTCTTCATTTTGCAGGGGTAGACTCCATCCAGTGATAACAGATTCTAAAACATAAGTATGGTAGAGCAATCATGTTTAAATTAATATACCATACCTTTCCTTGTTCTCTCTATATAACTTGAAACAATGCTTTACAGAAATTATAGTATTTGATGATACCAGCTTCCCTTTGAGCACAAGCTGTGATATTGACTGTGCTATATCATGATACTGACAGGGCTATATCATGATACTGACAGGGCTATATCATGATAATGACAGGGCTATATCAGGATATTAACAGGGCTATATCATGATACTGACAGGGCTATATCAGGATATTAACAGGGCTATATCATGATACTGACAGGGCTATATCAGGATATTAACAGGGCTATATCATGATACTGACAGGGCTATATCAGGATATTAACAGGGCTATATCATGATACTGACAGGGCTATATCATGATACTGACAGGGCTATATCATGATACTGACAGGGCTATATCAGGATATTAACAGGGCTATATCATGATACTGACAGGGCTATATCAGGATATTAACAGGGCTATATCAGGATCCTGACAGGGCTATATCAGGATATTAACAGAGCTATAACACTAAATCAGGATATTAACAGGGCTATATAATGATACTGACAGCAATAAATCAGGATATTAACAGAACTATATCATGATACTGACAGGGCTATATCAGGATATTTACAGGGCTATATCAGGATACTGACTGGGCTATAGCAGGATATTAACAGGGCTATATCATGATACTGACAGGACTATATCAGGATATTTACAGGGCTAAAATTATATCATGATACTGACAGGACTAAATCAGGATATTAACAGGGCTATATCATGATACTGACTGGGCTATATCAGGATATTAACAGGACTATATCATGATACTGACAGGGCTATATCAGGATATTAACAGGGCTATATCAGGATATTATTGGGCTATCACATGATATTGACTGGGCTATATCATGATATTGACATGGCTATATAATGATACTGAACAGGCTTTCAGAATACTGACAGGGCTCTATCATGATATTGCCAGGATTATATCACTACTTCATAAATTGACATGACCAGCTTCCATATTCCAAACTGTCTAATATCAACTCTGGGGATATCACATGAAAAGTAAAGTTTGAATGTCACTGCCAGGATTCTGTTCAAGGAAGATATGGGTAAAATGAAAAAAAAAATTTTTGGTCATCAATTTTTAAATACAAAATCACAAGTACCTGTCTTTCCAAGTACATACCTGTCTTTCATAATCATACTGTGCTCTAAAACAATACAGTTTGGAAATGTAGACAATTTAGTTTCCTGTATTACAGAATATTATCAGAAAGGTGAATACCTACAGTGAGGGAGCACAAACTCATTATATGGTCTATGGAGTTTTACAAAATAATAATTTGTATAATCAGATGCTGCCAACGTGTCTTGGCAATCACTACCTGGCCTAATGCTGGGGTGATAATGTCTATGTTGAATTGTTCCGAACTTAATGAATTTATCAATCTCTTTCTCACTTAAATATGCATAATGGTTCTACAACTGCCCATGCTTAACTATGCAAGATTTACTTCTAAAATCCAAATAATATGTAAAATGAGCTAGTGGTATTGTTCATGTTAAAATATTGTGTTATCCACTTAAATATGGGACTTGTTCATGTTAAAATTTTGTATTGTCCACTTAAATATTGGGACTTGTTCATCTTAAATTTTGTATTGTCGACTTAATTTTACCTTAAATTTTGAAATGTCAACTTAAATATAGGACTTGTTCATCTTAAATTTTGTATTGTCCACTTAAATATTGGGACTTGTTCATCTTAAATTTTGTATTGTCCACTTAAATATGGGACTTGTTCATCTTAAATTTTGTACTGTCCACTTAAATATGGGACTTGTTCATGTTAAAATTTTGTATTGTCCACTTAAATTTGGGACATGTTTGTGTTAAAATTTTGTATTGTCCACTTAAATAATTGGGACTTGTCATTTTGTCATTCAATATATTTTTTTGAATTGTTTAGCACTTATTATCTCTTTTACTTCTTATATTTTTGAAGAGTCAAATCAGATATGTATAATGGACATATTATCTGAATTTTGGACAGAACATAATGCCATAACTTAGGAATTCAAAGCCAAATTACTCAGCTTGAGGAGAAAGCATAGATTTGGTAAAGGAGGTTTGATGAGCAGACTTAAGTTAGGTTCTTTACTGGCAGGACAAGACTACTAAAAATCTGTACTGAGTATTATCTATTTCGAAATTTAGATCTACTTTTTAATTCAAGTCTGTTTTCTTTTTTTTTGTACTTTTTTATGTTTTGTTTGTTTGTTTGTTTTTTGTTGTTGTTTTTTTGTTGTTGTTGTTTTTTTTCAGGTGGGGTGTGGGTGTTTTTTTGTACTTTTTTCCTCTATCGATTCACAATTACATGTAAAAATATGTAAAAAATAATGCAAAGATAATAATAGGTTAACCTTTTACAACATATCTCATTAAAACCTTTCAATATTCAAAGTAAAACACTAAAGTGCAAAATCAGATCTGAAAGTAAAATTAAAGGGGTGAAGTCATAAAAAAATTCATAAAAATGCCACTGAAATAAAATTTACATAAATACATAAATCTGTTAATCTTATTTACAGAGATTACAAAACACAAACGTTTTGAAACGTACCCCACATGAAGTTTTAAAACTTGGACAAACTTCACGAATTTTTATGTAAACAACAAGAACGCTACCAACGTTCATTACCGGGGTGGACAAATGTCAACTTTCCCCGATAAATGAAATACAATTAAGTGCGAATAGTATAAACTTTTCCTAATTCTTCCTTCCAAAAAACTACTATCAAATATTTACATAAATCGGTCCCATATTTTTTCAGCAAACATGGCTCGTGACAATTTTCCCATAATCCCACTTGTTAGAGAACTGTCATGAACTAGGATCATCCTCCTGCCGTTTTTTTTTTCTTCTTCTTTTTTTACAGACTACTCCTCCATTCTATTTAAGTTTTCATTTTAAAGTTTATGAAAAAAAGGCATGTGGTCCGGTATTCATGAAAAATGTGTTTGTGTATTATTTATTTGGTTATAAGTTTTGCACATCTCATAACAAAGCAAATTATACATGTATTATGAATTCCACCAAATTTGTTGAAAAAAATCTAACATTTTATACTGAAATATTGCATATTGAATATTTTATACAATTGATTTAAATAATGTTATTGTAGTCATTTGCAAATAAGATGTTGAGCAGAATCAAATTTCAGCATGCTGAATATCTTAAACAGATTTCATTTCCTTGTTATTGCTGTATTACTTCTGTGTTATTTTCCTGATTATTCCCTATACTTCAGGTGAAGATACTTATTTCCCTGATATTTTTTGTTATTACCATGTTACATCCCAAACATCACATGAAGAAGATTGTTATTTCCCGTGTTATTTCTGTGTTATTAACCTGTTACACCCCATACTTCAGTTAAAGATTGTTATTTCCCTGTTACTAGTAATTCTGTGTTATTACCCTGTTACACCCAATACTTCAAATGAAGATTGTCATTTACCTACCATTACTGTGTGATTACCCTGTTACACCCCCAAACTTCAAATAAAGATGGTTATTTGCCTGTTATTTCTGTTTTATGTAACCCTGTTACATCCCCCTACTCTAGATAAAGATTGTTATTTCCCTGTTACACACCCATACTTCACATATACGAGTAGATTGTTATTTTCCTGTTATTTCTGTGTTATTACCCTGTTACACTCCCCATACTTCAGATATAGATTGTTATTTCCCTGTTATTTCCCTGTTATTTCTGTTTTATGTAAGCCTGTTACATCCCCATACTTCAGGTGATGAAGTACTCATCCACCAGCTGACATTTTCTCCTTCCACTTAACAGCATCGGGTAGCATCAATGCAACATCAAATGAAACTGTTCATTCAAAACACAAGTAGGGCGACAGATAATATCAAATACAAATATTGCTTTACAATTTCTGGACAAAATCACTGCAAACACTCGTACATTCCTCATAAATGGACACTTCCACATTTCAATAAACATCATCGGAAAAGCACTTTCGGTTTAACAAACATTAACGGATAAGTGAAGATGTACGGAAACAAAGTTTGGGATAAAAGCGGTGCTGAGAATTCTAAATAAGGGCTTTCAATACGTTTATGTGTATTTGACTTTGAAAGCAAATATTTACACAGTGTGTATATACACACCAAGTGTTTTGACTACCTCTAATTTTTACGCAGGTGAAAATAATGTAAGGTCATTAATGATTACAATTTTCTTATATTTTCATAAATCTTGATGTCATTGATTGAAAGTGTTAGATAAATACATGTAGTTTGAAACTTAAAAGTGAAATACAAACTGTTGTGGTATATTTACTGATGTATATATAAACCTATTAATATACCAGACTAAACTTTTATTATACCCAACCTAAACCTTAAATATACTGGACCTAAACCTTGGCTACACCAGACCTAAACCTAAGATATACCAGACATAAACCTTGAATATACCAGAACAAAATCTTGGATAAACTTTGACTATACCACTGACCTAAACCTTTACCAGACCTAAATCTTGGATATACCAGACCAAAACTAGAGAGTGTCCTAAATCAATCCCAAGCAGGGTTTTCACATAAGAGTTAGATATGAATATCTCATTCCTTACTCTAGTTCTCCCAGAAATCATTTTTGTATCTTTAGTAACAGTGACCTTAACCTTGACCCTAGGGGTCCCAAAAACAATCCTAGTCTTCTTGAGTATGTTACATGTATATGTAGAAAGTATATCAAACATTGTTGCTCTTCCAATACAACAGAAATGAGCTGGTTGAGCCTGGTAAATAGATACACAATGGTTAAAGCAACCCCCCCTCCCACCCCACGAAGGATACCCATTTCCAACAGGGGAATTCTAATTCGCTGATTTAGCAACTGTGCTGCTTCAAGAAAGTGCAAACAAA